CTTATGGCTGTTGAAACGATTTTGTGCACACATTTTTTTTTGCCGGGAAGGTGATGTCATGGTTCTTCCGTGTTCTTCATGCTTGCATGTCAGCATACTCATTGCATATGGATATGTGCATGTGTGTGTGCCCGTCTATCTGTGCGCTCTATGTCCGTGCTTGTGTACGCTCGTCTTCCCGCGCGCTCTGCATACTGCTAGTCCGCATTTCGCTGCCGTCTGATCCCGCATGCCCGCGCGCATGACTTTGTCCTGACGGATGATTCGTTTGCAGGTGCATGCTACTCACTTGCTTCTTCTCGACAATACACTTGGCCATACAACATCCATCTGTTAACCCTGCAAAGAGGGGAGAGGCTTTAAGGGACGTCACACATTGACAGCCCTTTCATTGATGGGTTTGATAGATAAGTCCATTGTATTTAAGCAACATTAGGCACTTAAGGTTACAAGAGATCGCTGATCACTTGCGGTGTGGCCACCGATCTAAGTTATGACCCTGTTTTACTTCCTCTTTTTTCATTGGTGAGGTTGTCTTACCTGATGTAAATCTGAATACCTTGCTATCGCATCGTTATTACTGGATGAGTCATTCAAACATAGCATCCCTTGATGATAAAATTCTCCCTCCACATGCATCGTGACACTGTATATATGTGAAAGTGTTCTTACAACTTCCTCTCTTCTTAGAAGCATGGCTTGTCTCGAGCTGGTGGATGCTGGGGCCTCGGGCCACCACCATATATCGTCCCGGTCTCCGGGACGACCGGGTCCTGAGCCACGCCAAAGGAGCCGAAACGCTTCGAGACTGCCACGCTTCAGGGCAGCCCTGCTGGCTGCTGGAGCGACTCGACTCGACTCGAAACTGAGGACCGCCTTCCCCTGAGTGGTGCCTCTGCGGTAGCGGGCGCCGGACGTGGTGCCCCCGTGGTTCACCCTGCATCGTAAGCGTATCGACAGCGTGGCGTGTGGAATTGGGAGTGCTGTGAGTTGCGCTGTTTCTGTGCGCTGTTGAAAAGTGACCACTTTTCAAGGTGGGGAGAAATGTCGTGATTTGTGCCTAGCGCCGTTTAGTTTGTTACGCGCCCAGCGGTAGCGGTCAGCCGGCCGGCGAGCGGCCGGCGCGGTGGGTGCACGTGTACGGGTCGTGGGCCGTGTGCTGTGTCTATGGCCCGGGGCGGGGACCCGAGCTTATGTCAGGGCCGGCCAGGTAACGCCGGCCAGTTGATCTCTGGACCTCCTCGCGAGCGGGTACGGTACTGATACCGCCCCGGTCTGTGAGGCAAGGGCCGGCGTATCAACTCGGGCTCCGGGCGGAATCGGTTTAGCTACCGGTCCACTGCACCCCGGTGTCGGCGAAATTAAACACTGGCAAATAACTTAAACTATCAATGTCCCCACTTGAATATTACGATGTATTGATCTCGATGTAAGGTCCGATGGTTTAGTTTGCCACGTTTGGGTCGCTTCAATTAGGCATAGTGTGAGCCTCGTCATATCTGTTTGCTCTGTTGTATGCAATACAGATCCACTCACTGGCGGTCCCAGGGGGGGGGGGCCACGGGGGCCATGGCCCCCCCCTTTGGTGCTGAAAGGTGGGGCCATACTATCTTTTGGCCCCACCTTTCAGATCGAACAAAAGTCCTAAAAAAGCTTTTCGTAGGTTTCATTTTCTTTCTAGCGCCATCAAAGGACGTAAAGTTCACTCATGAGTGGGCTCAGTTTCGCATTCTGTCAATTTGGCGGTCAGCGTCGCTGGCACCGGTTCACGAGTATGGCCGGATCTTATATGGAATATCAGCGTGGGTTTACTTGAGGCTCTCGTAGGCCCAGCAATGGCTGGCATGAGACCCTCTTCGCCAGTGGTGGGTGGGCCCTGCTAAAGGAGATTGGCTCTAAAGACACTAAAGTAAGACCTGATGTGTTGGTGCTGTGCACCTCAGAAGCCCGAAGGTGACGCCGTATGCCGGCTTGGTTTCTTAAGGATTAGCGTGGGAACTCCGGGGCCTGCATAGAGTTTGCATGCGCTAATATGTCATCTCAGAGGCATGTGTGTAATGTGTACACAATGGCGGTCGCGGGGGGGGGGCATCAGGGCCATGCCCCCAAAGGTCAATAAAGGGGGCCATCATATCATTTGCGCCCCCCCCCCCCCACAAACAACCAATGGGCCCCCATATAGGTGTATGGGGCCCTGGCAATTATTCGATCGTCACGAGGCTCAAAAAACCCACGCCCAGCTATTAATATAGCTCCCACACCGGTCTTTGAACGTCCTACACTGACCTCTGAGGGAACTTCAGTGGCGGTCAAGCGCCCACGTTGACCGCTAAGAGCCTATATCAACCTCTGAGACCCCACATCTGGCCTATGAGGGCCCCTAACCGGCCTCAGGGGTCCCAACCGGCGTCTGAGGGTCTCACACCGGTCTCTGGTGGCCTTATTTCTGTCTGTGGTGTCCCAAGACGAACCTTTAGGCGCCAATGAGGGACCCGCACTGGCTGCTGAAGACCCGATGCTGGCCTCTAAGGGCCTGCATTGGCCTCTGAGGAGGGCCCATCTTGGCCTTTGAGGGCCCTCTGCTGGCCTCTGGGGTCCAACGACGGCTCATGCCGGTCTTTTTTTTATAAATTTAGCCCGAACCTTTTGATGGGAAGGATTCACAAGGACGGAGCCACCGCTAAGCGAAGCTTGTTGCGATGACCCTGCCCTCTACCCTCCGATCGCGCAATTCCGATTCTATGGCAGGATTTAGAGTCCAAAGTTTAACGTGCGCACAAAGCCGCGCACGGCCGGTCCCCTCGCTGACTTCGCCTGGCTACGGCCTGCCACCAACCGCAACCATACCTGTCAGGAGGCACATAAATGTCGAGCGCCCGTCGCGCTTCGATCCCGGACTGTCATAACCGGGAACGCGTGCTCTCACCACGCGGAGTCCAACGCTCTAACCAACTGAGCTACGGGGCCGGCACGCTTTTAGGGCCCCACGCTGACCTCTGAGGGCCCATGTTGGCCTGTAATGACCCACATTAGCCTCTGAGAGCCCAACTCGGTCACTGATTGTCTCCAACTACTGGCCTTTGTAGTTTGCAGGCCCTGTACTGGTCTCTGAGGGCCCTAAACTGGCCTCTACGTGAAAACATACATGGGTGGGTTTCTGAAGATCAGAGGGCTCACGCAGTCTCCGGCACAGCCTTACGTTGGTCCTGATCGAGATTACTTTACGTCCTGATGGTCCCGCGCAGATTCCCTCATATTTCGACGCCGGGACCCCATGAGCCGGTGTGGGTCCTGGGGCTGGCAGAGACTGATGAAGTCCTTAGGGCTCAGGGCCAGTCTTTTTAGCAGTAAGACTAGGCAGGTTGAGTGAGCCCCATTAGAGCCGTTGCGAAGCCCCGCAGGAGTCGCGCGCGGCCCTCAGATGCCAATTTTGAAAGCTTGGAACCTGTGGGGGGTCTCCAGAGGTCGGTGTACCTACTCTCTCCCGCCGCCACACAACTAGACATGTTACCTATATGGGTAAATGTCATAGTCTGAAAATGCTCTCTGGGTTTCACATGCTTATTCAAAGCAAGAGGTATCTGTACTTTTCCGAATTGTTTTATAGTGGTAAGGTCATGAATCCGCGTGCCTGACATTCCAGTAGGGGAGAGAGGTCATATTGCGCCACCTTAAGGATATCGGCCTATTGCGGCTAAAGTTGACCAGCTGTCATGTTTGATGATATCTCAAGTTGTACCTCAGTTATTTTGGCATCAAATAACAACTCCCAATTTGTATCACACCCAGAAAAATTAACAAGAGAAAAGCTTTCCGGCACATCTGCAAAGGGCGCATTTACGGACTCCTCCATCAAAAAGCGTCCATGCCTCTCATGTAAAAGCGCCCTATTAAAAACAACGGTTTGTCACCTAACTAAGTAGCCTATTTGAACGTGTCAGCCCATTAACCATTTATGCTGTGAAGGCTAATGTAATGGTAAGGTGAGCGCTCTAATAATCAAAGTGTTCAATGAAATGTGTCCCAACCACCAGATGCTGTTTCTCTGGGTTGAAGAATAGGGCGCAAATAGGGTGGGCGCAATTACGAATGGAACACATTTTTCATGAGCTTCAAATATGGCGACGACAGCGAAGCCACGGTGGTGATAAACGTTCAAAACTACCATTAAACAAGCAATTAACAATGATTATTAGTTCAATCACTATCTCTAAGATAAGGCATGACACTAGCAAGGGTCGAAATAGACTTTCGCGTAAGAAAAAAGAGGAAATCACAAAAAATTGTCTGCGAGAAAATTGAGACACCTCACCTGCCCCCGTGGACCGGAATAAGAGCGAGTTATTGGTGGTGAAGTAAATGCACACATTCGAGTATTCGTTCGAATCGAATTTTGGGCAGGAGGAAGGTGTGGCGCATTTAAGAACATGGCGCAATATGACCTCTCTCCCCTATACCTATGCTACACCGATCCGTCGTCATGGTGCAGTGGGCCGACTGGTGGAAGCACCGTGGGACGGGAAATGGAACTGGTGATTTTGCCTTAAATTGAGCTTAAAGATTTCACGCAAGAATCAGATGGATGAAGCATAAGTAATGCCAAATGCGCGGCACCTCGTGGACGTAACAAAATTAGCCGATCACCCCCCTCCCGGTGACGGAAAAATGTTATGTCCCGCGAGTGTGACTTTGGCCCCCCCCCCCTTTTGCTAGCGGCTGCGACCGCCAGTGGATCCACTTGAGTTAATTTCTTGTTATTTTGAAAATCAAGGCAAATCGTTCGGTTGGTGTCGTCACCATCGTTCTGATCGAAAGACGTAAATGTAATAAATACAGTCCACTTTTATCAGTAATCACAACACTGTGCAGCCTCGGGAAGCACACTCGTTCTTCCGCGAAGCTATAACTCGAGTGGTTGGAGGTCCGATCGACCTTACGCTAGCGGCTATGAAACGCCACTGCGGGCGGGGCGAGCCGCCGTCTGCACGCCCACGGCTCACCTGGAGGCTGTCGTCCACGGGCAGATTATAGTGTCTGAGCAGAGCCAGGTAGTCGCGACAGTCCTGCTGTAGGCGGGAGAAGCTCACGGCCATCTCGTCATAGCAGACGGGCTCCGAGAGACAGACGTGCAGCCGGTGTACCAGACTGTCGGGCAGCGGCGGCTCGGGGCACGCCTGAGACCGCACAGACGCGCGCAACGCGCCAGTCAGTGGGTACAGCCAGCTGAGCGCAGCCACATCGCACATACAACACTACCTACTTCATTCGAAGAGGACAAACCATTGGCTGCAACGTTACCAAATTTTTAGCATTTTTTGTATGGTGCCTTTTAACAATATCAGCAGAGTATGCAGGCGCGGCGCCAAGGACTTTGTCTACGATGGGGCTGAGCTACCGCGGGCCTCCCAGTAGTGCAGTCTTAATGGCACACCAATATACACCCATAGACTATATCTAGACTGTGCAGTGTGCAGTGTGTACGGAAAGATAATTTCAAATTTGGCACACTGGTAGAACTCCAGAAGCGCTCCAAGGTCATGTAATGGTCGTGATGGGGTGAGTGGTGGACGTGCTATACAAGTGCGAGCAGTTTTTACCCCTCCTACGTATTGCCAGGGATGTAGACCAATTGGTTTAGCCAATCAGTCCGCAACTTGGCGACCATAAGCAGAAGGCAAGCAATTCCATCCTTCGGCAATTCTGGCACCATGGAGTACACGTGGCAGTTGGCACGTACCAGGCGGATTTCTTTTTTGACCGGGGATCCTCTGGTCTAGATAAAGTTTGAGCTAGCGGCATAAAATTTGGCGCACTGGTAGAACTTGACGAGTGCTTCGCGTTGGTATAAAATGACCAACATAGGGTGCACAGTGCACGTAATATACCTACACGTGCAAGCAAATTATACACCGCTGATAAGTGCAAGGACTGCAGGCCAACTGGTTGAACCAATTCGTCTGAAACTTACCGGCCATAAGCAATAAGCATAAATCTTATATTGTTCGGCAATTTTAACACCGTAGGGTACACCTGGCACGTGCAGGGGGGGGGGGGCACGGTCCTTCAACCCGCGCATGATTGGGGTATTTTCCATAGATAGAGTGTATTCGGTGCCTCCACTTTTATGGGTTCTATGGCATCCACGTCATTATATATTAGGTCGTTCAATAAGTAACGAACAATCGGTCATAACTTCTTTATTTCTTTATTTAACACTTTCAAACTTTCACAGATTATAGATCAGACATTTCTGAATGCAGCCTTTGCCTCAAACCAGTCGCCGCCCGCCTGCACACACTTCTCCCAGCGTTCCGGCCAACGCTGGAATTCCGCCCGGAAAAACGCGTTTTCCGTCTTTTTCACCCAGTTCTTGACAGCGCAGCTGACTTCAGCGTCGGTCTCGAAGTGTTCACCACGGAGGCCATCCTTCAGGGGACCAAAGAGGTGAAAATCTGAAGGAGCCAGGTTCGGACTGTAGGGCGGCTGGGACATGATATTCAGCCCTGTCTCGCGATCTCCTTGCGTGTGGCGTGAGACATGTGCGGACGAGCGTTGTCATGGTGTCATCCTGGTGGGCTTTCTTGAACATGGGCGGACTATGGACAGCGGGCCGCTACATCACATTCCTGCAGGAGACTGAGAAAAGCAATCCTGAAGAAGAGGCGCGGCTCGGATGTCAACAACATCACCATACATCATGACAACGCCCGACCGCACTTGTCTCACGCCACGCGCGAGGAGATCGCGTGACAGCCGACAGGGCTGAATATCATGCCCCAGCCGCCCTACAGTCCGGACCTGGCTCCTTCAGATTTTCACCTCTTTGGTCCCCTAAAGGATGGCCTCCATGGTGAACACTTCGAGACCGACGCTGAAGTCATGTGCGCTGTCATGAACTGGGTGAAAAAGACGGAAAACACGTTTTTCCGGGCGGAATTCCGGCGTTGGCCGGAACGCTGGGAGAAGTGTGTGCAGGCGGGCGGCGACTGGTTTGAGGCATAGGCTGCATTCGGAAATGTCTGATCTATATTCTGTGAAAGTTTTAAAGTATTAAATAAAGAAATAAAGAAGTTATGACCGATTGTTCGTTACTTATTGAACGACCTAATAAAGACAAAATCACACAGTAAAAGTGAACAGACAGTAAAAGCCAAAACTAAAAGCCTAAAACACACCGCGTTAAAATACATCGAAATTCATTAAAATAAAATTTGAGTAGGTAGGTACAGTCTGTCTTGAAAGTACCGCAGCATGGCAGGGTGGCGCTGGTGAACCGGCGCAGCGGAGGGCGGTCAGGTTTGAGGGCCACTGGATCGCCTGACCCTTGGGGGGGAGGAGAGGGGTGGGCGCGAGTGAGCGGGCTCTCGGTGCTGCCAGTGCGGCAGACACTAATGTTAACGCCAGACCTCTTGAGACCCTAATTTTTCGCGATTATTTTTAAATGCATGGAAGAATTTCAACCAAGCTCAGGACATGGCTGTGGTGGTGTGCATCCCCAGTCTGTACCTGGGGTTTGCATCTCTACGACCGTGTGTGCCCTCGGGGCACGGTCCGGCGGCGGCTCCCGGCCGGACCGTGCGGGGCCGCGTCAGTCTCTACTGGGTCCGCGCCACGCTCGCTCGCTGTGAACAATACACCTGCACCGGTTCAGAGGCGTCTTCACATGGCGCAGCCGGCAGTGTCGTGAACGTGCGATTACCAGTGCAAGTGTGACAGGGCGACGTGCATAATTATTGTGCATTTTCGACCCAGCAATGGGGGACTCTGACGCCGACAGCGTAGCGGATGCGTCTCGGGAGCCGGATGCGTCTCGGGAGCCGGCCGCTTCCGTCGCGGTTCGGGCTGCCGCGCCGCGGCAGCGGGCCGGCCGCGGTCGTGCGTCCCGCAGCGCGCCGGCCCCGTGGGCGGGCCGAGTACGAGCACCGGACAGCCTGGACCTCTCCACGGACCGGGGTGAGTCTTTCCTGGTGTGGAGAGAAAGCTGGGAGGACTACGTGCTCCTGACCGGCTTGATAGACGCTGAACCTGACATTCAGCTGGCTGCCCTGAAAAATGTCATGACCCCGGAGAGTCGCCGCGTCCTGAGGAACCTGGAGCTGACCGAGGTCCAGCGTGCCGATCCCGAGGTTGTACTGGACGCGCTGGAGCGTTTCGCAGTGAGCCAAGTAAACGAGGTTATCGAAAGGAAGAGGTTTAACGAAAGGTTTCAGACTGAAGGGGAGGTCTTTGATGATTTTCTAACCTCCCTGCGTGAATTGTCTCGTGCTTGCAAATTTTGTGACGCGTGTAATGATTCGCTAATCAGGGATAGGATTGTGATGGGTCTGAGATCAGCGGAGACCGTCAAACGACTCTGCGCCGTCCAAAACCTCTCGCTGTCGCATGCCATCGCTGTTTGCAGGGCCGACGAGGCGGCCGCCAGAGACGCCGTGGAGCTGCGGGCAGGCGGACTCGCCCGGGCCGCCGCCCACCGAGTGGACGCCGCCGAGCGCCACCGAGCGCCGCCGAGCGCTGGACCGAGGCGGCGCGACGGCGGCTGGTGCGCTGCGTGCGGCCGGCGACGTCACCGGATGGGAGACGCGTGTCCGGCCCGGGGTCAGCGCTGTCGCAGCTGCCGTCAGCTGGACCACTTCGCGGCAATTTGCCCCGACGCATCCGGCGACTACGATGACCGCCGACCGACCACGTCGTACGAGCGCCGCCGGCTGGCCCCGTCTCGGCCGCGGAGCTCGCCACCTGGGCGGAGCTACAGGCCCGACCCGTACCGCTCGTCGTCGAGATCGCCGTCCCCGTCGCTGGACACGCGGCGATCGCAACGGCGCCAGCCGTGGCGCGGCACCCGGGTCCGCTTCCAGTCGTCGGAGGGCAGCAGTGACCGGAGCCCGGACGGTGCGGCGCGGCGACCGGCCGCGTCGGCCATCATCGCGGTCGCTTCGGTGCAGAGCGCCCCCCGCGTGCGCCTGGATGTCACGGCGCAGCGCCGCGCCTCGGTACTCGCGCTGCCTGACACCGGGGCTGACATCTGCGTCGGAGGACTCGACTTCCTGAAGGAGATGGACGAGTACCCGGAGAACCTGCTCCCCCCGGAGCAGCATCCTCGGACAGCCAACGGCGAGACGGTCAAGTCGCTGGGAGTCCTGCCGGTCTCGCTGAGTCTCGGCCGCGTCTCGGTGCAGGAGTCGGTGCACATCCTGGAGGGCGTCAGCGGCCTGCTGCTCTCCTGGAAGGCCGTGAAGGGACTTCACATCATTCCAGCCGGTTATCCGCAGCAGATAACCGCCGATCTACCGGAACCCGCCTCTGGCTCTCGCACCAGGGACGCACCAGACCGCCCTCAGCCGGGGCCAGCGCGGCATCGGCATCGGTCTCGCGCCGCGCTGCCCGACGGTGGCACGTCATCGGACTGCGTGGCGGCGGTGTCGCGCGACGGCGCTGCTGGAGAGGCGACCGCGGCGACACCTGTCGAGCGGCCTGACAGCAGCCTTCCGACCGGTGCACCTGCATCTGAAGACGGGTCAGCAGAGCCGCCTGTGGACCAGGGAGGCTCCTTCCCGGACATCACGTCCGAGTTCCCCACCGTGTTCGATGGCCACATCAGAGTCATGCCGGGGGAGCAGTTCAAGATTCACCTCAGGGAGGAAGCCGTGCCGTTCCGCGTGTCGAGCCCACGACGAGTGCCCCTCTCACTCCGCACGCCGCTGAAGGACGAGTTGCAAAAGCTGGTGTCCGAGGGCATCATCGTGCCCGTCACGGAGCCGACTGAGTGGTGTGCACCGATCGTCGTTGAACCGAAGAAGGAGGGAGGAATCAGGCTGTGCGTGGACCTGTCTCGCATGAACAAGTTCGTCCGCACCGAGCAGTACCAGGCACCCACCCCGCTGGAGGAAGTTGCCTCTATAGCGAGCTCGGAGGCGAAGTGGTTCGCCGTCTTCGACGCGGCAAAGGGCTACCACCAGTGCCCTCTTCATCAGGACAGCGTGCTGAAGACGACGTTCATCACGCCGTTCGGCCGGTACGCGTTTTTACGCGCGCCGTACGGGGTCAGTTCGATATCTGACCACTACAACAGGCGCATGGACGAGGCGTTCTCCGGCCTCACCGGCTACAAGAAGATCGTGGATGACGTCGTGGTCTACAGTCGGACCAGGGAGGACCACATCCGTGACGTCCGTCG